GTCACAGCCCCTCGTTTGTTGTCCTCTTCTCCCTCTCTGCCTACGGTTTACCGGGCAGTTCTATTTGACGATATATATATATATATTTTTTTTGCACGCCCGGGTGCCCGGGCGGGCAGGACCGGCCGGGCGTGAGAATCTTCCTAGGTATTTCCCCTTTTTTAAAGTTTTTTTTTCCCTTTATTGATTCTTTTTTCTTATATCTTGTTTAGCGGAATCGGATCAATTTACCCGAAGCGGAAACGGAGTTAGTCGTAGACTATGACGCAGAATATGCTTCTCTTTAGAAAAAAAAGGAAAAAGGAAAAGGAAAAAAGAAGAAAGAAAAAAGAGTACAGGCTGTGATGTTTCTGGTGCGAATTACGGAGAGATGCATCTGGAAAAGTCCCTATTTTGATTATGCCCTGAGGGAATGTAAAGAGACTACAAGGACTGCAATTGGCCCAGAGGAGTACTAATTACTTGTTTTCACAGGTGTTTGCTTTCTTCTACACTGTGCTACAGGAGAGAAAGAGGAGGACATGGAAGCTTGAACTAGGGACACGGACGACAGAAGTGAAAGTGGACAGGCTGTGATGTTTCTCCTACGAAGCAGACATTGTCGGGAAAACATCATCCACCGCAGAATCTCCACTGCTCTCTCCCCTGTCTCTCTCCCTCTTTTCGCCCTCCCGCAGAGAGGACTACCGTCTTCCCCCTGAACATAACACATCCTCCTCACGACGGTATCGGATCAGAAAGATATCTTGTATATATTTGAAATGAGGGTGGGTTACGTTCGTGGGAAGATTAGAGTCATGGAGTCTGTCTTGAATGTTAAGTGTGCAATGCGAAAAGACAGGGTCGAACATTTGTCCCACAATCTGTCCGCCGGGAAAACTAGCTTGTCGGTTTTCCTCTGTCAGCACATGAGGCCAGCTGTTTGTGGAAGTATTCTTACTCCCTTCTCCTCGTAGCATGAGGTGGTCCCCACCACTGGGTATATGGCTGCTACCGATGTTTTCCATCAAATCGGCCTTCTTGATTGGCCGAAGAGAGAGGAGGGAGGGATTAAGTTCTCTTCCAGCGTGGGAAGAGATCGTCTCGCTTTCTGCCGGGTGTTAAATATTGTGCATAAGCGGATGGACCGAGCGGTTTTCTATGGGGATGATCTTCTGTGATTCGATAGAAGGGAAGAGGGAGGGAGTGTCGCTATCTATCACTGTAGAGTGAAGATTGTGGTGTCTATAAATAGGCTTCTCTGATGGTGAATCAGACAAGGAGGGGGCTTTGAGCATAATAGCTTGTGTACCCATCTCTTCCCTCATGACAGGGTTCCCTCATTGGTTGAATAGGAGAGGAAGGAGTAAAGCTCTCGTCCCGTGGGTCTTGTTGGGCCCTAGCTATTGTTACTTATTAGGTCTTCCATAGCATGATTATACCTTGATCTAATCACCGTGTGTATACAAAGGGAGGAGGGCAGTCCTTGAGGGGGGGCTGGGAGAGAAAGAAAGAGAGAGAGAGAGAGAGAGAGAGAGAGAGAGAGAGAGAGAGAGAGAGAGAGAGAGAGAGAGAGAGAGAGACTTATGTTGGGCCAATCTATGAGGAGTAATTACTTTCTACTAAGGGTGCCCCTTCCCTTCCGCCACAGGACTCCGTTTCAAAGATGGCTTCGTGCGATGTTTCTCAACCCTTGGAAATCGATCAGCCGGTTCCGATGGCTCTGAAACTGCATAAGTACAAGCCCAATTGTCATACGATGCTCGTGTTTACGGTATTGTTGTCTGTGGCGATAATGGCGATTCTCTTAAACTTGGACCTGGAACCGCCAAGATTCCCTGTTACGATAAGCCACCCCTTGGGAGGGGCCTCACGGGACTGGTTGAGTTCCACCTCTTTTCTGTCGAGGGAACCGAACCCTGTGCAAAGCGCGGGACGTGGTAGGACACGAACAATTCTGATGAACAATCAGTTAGCAAAACACCCAGAAGGCACTGTCGTTGATGGAACGGTTGCGGAGAAAGCGACACGGAATGAAGCGTCCGCTCTTGTTGTGAACGGAAGACCAGATTCTTCGGGGGGTACGGCAGCACCTCAGAACTCGTCGATCGTTCTCGTTGGTAACAGGACAGCGGAGTCTTCTCCCCATGTGCAGCCCATCCGGAACGAAACGATGGCGTCCGATGCGCAAAAGGAGCGTGTTGGGTCTTCTCACGACACGGAGAAGAAGGACGGATACAACTCGACAATTGTGGTTGCGGGGAACCGAACCACGGACTCTTCACGTGATGTCCAGTTGCGAGGGGATGACTCACAACTTACTCAGAAGGAGACAGTGGTGCCTGTGCAGAAAGAGGTGGCCCTCGAGGCGTCTCACGACCTGCCGAAGCACGTCAGCACAGTGATTGTGCTTGTCGTGAACAAGACCGTGCTTGTGGTGAATGGAACTGTGCAGTCTTCTCGAGACTCGCGGGCGGCCGCGAATGCCACTAAGCTTCCTGCTACAGTTACCGAGCAAGGTCTTGTCGATGACAGGACGAGGGAGTCGTCCCCCAATGCGCAACCTAATGGCAACGGAACAATAGCGCCTGATGTGAAGAAGCAGAGTGTACAGTCTTCTCAGGACGACGTGGAGAAGAAGGGTGGTGAAAATGCCACAACTGTGGTCGCGGGAAACAAGACCATAGATTCTTTGCCGCAGGACGTCCAGTCACGAGGGAACGATGCGCAACCTACTCCGAAGGAGACGGCGGCGCGTATGCAGAAGGAGGAGACTGGGGAGTCTTATTCCGACTTGCAAAAGCGCAATCAAAGCGCAGCAGTGGTTGCTGTTGTGGCGAACAAACCCGCGGATTCTTCTCAGGACGCTCAGCCACCAGCGAACATCACAAAGCTTCCTCCCACCACTTCTACGTTGAATTCGAGTACTGGTGGTGCTTTTGCCGCGATCCAGCAACAGATCTCAAAGCTCGTGGCGGAGGGAAAGCTTGGACGTACGATAAATGAGAAACTATTGAATTCGACGGGCGGATCTGGGGAAGGTGCTGCGGGGAATCCACTGGAAGGGAATGGCGCTCGTCTGATCGAACCGGTCAAAACAGAGGAGGCTCATCAGGACTCAAATACGGCCCCGCCCCCCCCGGTTATCCCGACGCAAACACTGGTGGTGTCTCCCGTTCAGGCTGAGGCGCCTCATCAGGACTCAAATACGGCCCTGCCCCCCCCGGTTATCCCGACGCAAACACTGGTGGTGTCTCCTGTTCAGGCTGTGCAACCAGCTCCTGTTATCAACCAGCCTCCGTTTGAATTTGGCCATGGAATACCTCCTCATGTTGGGACATTGGAGGATTACATGATCTCCATTGATATGGGGGGGGATTGTGTGAAGGGTTTTGAGTGCAAGTTCACGTTGACGACGAAACTCTACTACACAGCAGTGGCTTTCAACAGAGAGATAATGGTGCTGCTAGACGGTCCAGAGCTCCTGGTACCGGACATCGAGAATACGGTGACTTATCGAACGTGGTGTGCATCATTCTGGCCATGGGCAGCAGGTGCTTACAATGTCCAGATCCGATCAGACTGCGCAGGGATTCTCATGGCGACCAGTTTCTCGCTGGTCGTCCATGAGCCAAACGTCTCGGTCGCGGAACAAAACGAGCGGAGACCAGCATCTCCATGCGAAAAGGGTACCCGGGGGCGTTGGTTTCGTACACCGAGCGGTGTTTACGTCTGGAAGACCTGGGAAGAGTGCGACCCTGATCGTGCGCAGCCATCGAACTGGGTGGCACTTCTGAATTCGCGTGGTATTCGCGAGATCAACTTTGTCGGCGATTCGCACTTGCGCGTGCTGTCGCAGCATCTCCGAACCCTCGTCGAGGGCGGCTTCAGTCTCAACCATGTTGGTTATCATGGTGATATTTTCCACACCATTGTAGGAGAAAATGGCACAAGCCTGACGCTCAACTTTTATTGGGTGGACGGGATCTACCTGAACAACGAGTTTGGATGCATAAATAGGGGAATGTTCTCGGGGCGACAGGGCGAATTCCCGTCCAACATCTCACAGACAGCGGACATTTTGATCTCGAACTCGGCGGCATGGACCTGGGCGTATTGTGTGCAAGCGAAGGAGGCGTACGACAAGCATTTCCCGGAGTACGTAGCGTGGATAAAGTCATCACTCGGCCCGAAGACGAAATGGGTGGTGAGGAGCGAAGCGCCCTTTAACGGACACGACCTAGGCTGTTCGAGGAGGACGAACAACGGCATGAGGTACGCCAACAACATGGCGAGAGAAACGGCGAAGAAAGAAGGGGCGGAGTTCTTTAACGCTTGGAACATCGAGGGGGCTCGTTTTCTGGAGAATTGTGGTGCCTATGACCCGCATTATTCTTGTCCGTACACCTTTTTGGGTGTTGCGAAGATGTGGGGCCCAGTAGGAGAGGCTGTTGTCACTGATTTTATGCACCTTTTGATTTACGGCTTGAAGCACTAACCCTTGGCTGTTCAGCAAAGGTGGGGACCACCAGATATAGAGGAAGAGAACCAACTTCAGTAGAACTGGTCGTCGTTTCTGTGTGTTTGTGTGTGAACAACGGCGAAGAGAGAGGTTAGTCATGGTTGCACACACACACACACACACACACACACACACACACACACAC